TATATTTTTTTATTTTTATATTTTCCATCCCAAACAAGCTGGAGCCACCGGGCAATGCCACTGAGGATTCCCCTGGCAGAAGGGTCACACCATGTCCTCAGGGAGCTGCAGGTGCCCTGGCTGTGCTTTACCTAAAGTGACTTTCTGTCGGATGGCATTGGGCACTGGCAGCACTGGCAAGGTGTAATCTGCTGCTGCAACCCCTCCTGGCAGTGCCACACCTCCGGTTTCCAGCTGCTCAAAACAAAGAGAGAAATCAAATCAAACACCAGTAAAACCTGCTTCTGCCCTTGGCTGCACTGCTGAAATCACTGCCAGCGCTGGGAATGGCAGCTCCCATTTCCAGTTCTTCCCAGCTTCACTCCAAGAGCCTCCCCTGCCATTTCTGGGAAAGCCAAATTACGAGAGGAGCAAGCAGCAGAAGGGGTTTGCAAAATCGTCATGGAGAACAGAGGGAGCTTTGGGCACTGAGCTCCTGTGCAAATCTGTTTCTGAGGGCAAGGAGCAGGAATGCCCCTTCTTGGGATTTACATCCAAGCCAGCTTTTGACTCCATACGTCAAACCTCTAATCTCTGCCTTCAGAGGATTTGCAGAAATCCTGGGATTTCTGCAGGAACGTGACAGAGGCTGTCAGTGGCTCCAGAGAAAATAAATGGTTTATTTAAAAATAATAAAAATAATCTTAATTTTTAAGCAAACAAAACAAACAAAAACCTCAAAAAACCCAAAAACCCCAAAAACCCAAAAACCCCAATAAACAAACAAAAAAGCCCAACAAAGAAAAAAAAACCAACCAAAAGAACACCATGAGACATGTTGGTCTGGAGGGATATTTGGCTGTGCTGTGCTCAATGCCCCCAGTTCAACAGGCAAACCCCAGTACTGGTGTTCAAAGGGGAGGCAATGGTGGTGGGAAATTCAGGTGGGGGCAGAAACCCAACCAAAGGTGTTGGGACTGCTCTGGTTTCGGGAGGAGGAGGAGGAGGAGGAGGAAGGCAGCATCCAAGGACACCCTAAGGAAGCACAAGCCTGGCTGCCCAGCACAGCATAACACAACTTTAGGGGCTGGGATTGAAGCCAAACCCACCCAAAGGTGAAATTAAGTGGTTTTGATTGAGAAGTGTAATTAATGATCAAAACTGTTTCCTGAAGATGGAGCGGATTTGCTGCTGCTGGAAATATTTGTGTGTCTGATCTTTTCCTACACAAACTCTTAACTTTGTGCCCTTGCCATTTGCTGGATTAACCCCTTTTCTGACCCAGAGATGTAGCAACTGAGTGGCATTTTAAAAACTTTTATTCTATTTTCAGTCTCATGTGAAGGGCGAGACAATACAGATGTTATAATTCACGCCATCACAATCAGAAGCTTTAAAGCATTTACAGCATAGTATAAAAAGCTAATTAAAGCTAATATTATTAAAGCTAATAAGCCAAAAAAACACTCATAGTGTATTGTAATTAAGGAATAGTTAGCTCCTAATTGTAATATTAAGAAATTAAGAAATAGTTAGCTTCTAATTGCAAAAATCAGAAGCTTTAAAGCATTTACAGCATGGTGTGGCTAAAGTTAATAAGCCAAAAAACACTTAGAGTGTTTATGTACACTTATATGTACTTTAGTTAAACATTTTAATACACATATACACTTATATGTATTGTAATTAAAAATGAGTTAGCTTCTAATTGTAACAGTGTAAATTATAACATCTGTATTATCTCGCCCTTCACATGAGACTGAAAATAGAATAAAAGCTTTTAAAAGACCTCTGAGTTACCCCATCTCTGGGTCAGAAAAG